AACTGGACACAATATTAACTTAAATCTTTAAACAATATTTTACATGTAACATATGGTAATAATAAATAAACCAATAAAAAAAAAACATCACATTTACATAATATCAAATAAAACAATATTGTATCAAACAACGTAATAATGCTGGAGATTAATAGAGATTACTACCAGTACCAGGGTAATCTAATATCGACATGGCCACAGGTTCCCATGTTTTGTCTGCTTGAACCAGTCAGGCGAATTATCTGGTCATTGTACTAGTTACGCAGCACTTAGCTTGGCGAGTTCGGTATTTCGTTCCCACTGCGTCTTAGCTACACAGCTTTGAGTAAACGTCTTGGTTACTGGTGTAACCCATGCAAGCTTCCTTTTTCGGCAGAGAAATCTGAGGAGCAGATGATGCGCGCGCTAATATAATATGACGACGTAGAGCGCCAAGGCAGCGCCCGCGCCATCAGCCAATGGATTGGCGTGAATCTATGGGCTTCAGACAATCGGCACACCTAGAGGACATTCTGACGCGTAATTTTACACGTGAAATGCAGACAAACCTTGGAGCGTTTTGTCTTTGGCATCTTCAATAATCCCCTTGCTATCAGCAGACGTCCCAGGAGTCACCCGCATATTGATGGCCGCAAATTAGTTAAAATCTCCCGAAATCTAGAGCAAACGAGCAAGAGCATGCATGCAAGACAGAATAGACTGTGCTCCAAACCGTATAGTGCGCGCACGGCGGAGAGGGAGAGAGCGAGAGACTTCGCGTGTGTGCGCCTCATGACACAAAGACTCAGGCACCGAAATTTTTGTTCTTATTCGGTCTGGTTACTACCGTTTACATTGGAACCGGTTCCCTATTGGCACTGCGTTTTCGGTACCCAACCCTACTCATCAGCAATCACGCCACTGGCCTCGTACCATTCTCTCACGGCCCTCGGCCTCGTCCTGATCACCACAAGGCCTTAATGACGTTATGCAACAGAAGCTAATATCAACAAAGTTACAGTTCTAAGAAATCTCACTTTGAGTGGTTGTGTCCATCATCTCTGTCTGCTGTGCAAGCGCATGTGTCTGAGACAGCTGTCCTGTCTGGAGAAGGTTTTACCGCACACCTGACAGCGGAAGGGTTTCTCGCCCGTGTGCACTAGCTTGTGTGTTAAAAGACGCTTCTTCTGTGTGAAACCTTTCCCGCACTCGTCACATCTGAAGGGTTTTACTTTCGAGTGCACTAGTTTGTGTGTTAACAGCCGAGTCCTCTGTGGAAAGTGTTTCCCACACTCCTCACATCGAAAGGGTTTTTCTTTCGAGTGCACTAGTTTGTGTTTTACGAGCCGCCCCCTCTGTGGGAAGCCTTTCCCGCACTCGTCACATCGGAAGGGTTTGGGTTCTGTGTGCTTGCCGGCATTCAGACTCTGTGGGAGCGTTTTGGGCAAACACGAGCTTGAATGTGAGGATGGGAGTGTGTTGAACGGCGTCGATTCAGACTCGCTTGTGCTGGGCGAGCTTCTATGGGAATCCTGAAGATTAAAGTCATACTCAATGTCTACAAAACCAAAGCTATCGTTCTGCAGAACAGCCAATAAACCGGACTGAGTTGACGTGGTCGTGGGATCCTCCATCCCATATGGATCTGTAAAACTCTGGGAATGTTGTTCCGACTCCACAAGATTTTCCGGATGGTCAAACACTTTCCCGGAACACCATAAACGAGAGTTTCCGTCATGGCAGTGGTTTTGTCCTTTACACTTCTGCTTTTCCTGAACTTGACCCAGTGTCTGATCCACAAGTTCTTCCACCTGTTCGATCTTCATCTCAAACTCCAGTCCGCTGAGCTCCTCTTCCTCCGGTTCCTTCAGCGGCGGTACAGACTCTTCTTGTTTCAAAAGTTGTGCATTCACATCCGCCGCATGTGTAAAGTGAGGTTTCTCCTCTGAGAGATTCTTCACAACGACCTTTTCCTGGCTGCGATGATCAGCCTGAGCTTCCCGCGAATGAACGGTTACACCTGTCGAGAAGTCACGTGTCAATAAGACGTTATAATTCAAATTCTAAAACAAAACAAACAGTTCCAAGTCTAGTTTTAAGTATTAGTTTAATTTCCCATTAATACACCAAGCTGCAACAATCATTAGGCTAATGAAACATATTACTTGGAGCAAAAATAGCTTCATTATAACTCAAAATATTTTTGAAAACTGGTGATGTTTATTTTTCGCAAACAGAGAACAGAACGGATATATCAGAAGGACGTTGTAGCGAGGGGGCGTGGGAATGTGAAGTCCTGCAGCAGGGGAACGAGTGTGAAGACGAGCGGGATAAGGAGGGCCGGTACGCCTGGTCCCACTGCTGTCCGGAGAGGCACAGGAGGCAGAGCATCAGGTACCTGTAGCGAATCTCCTGGCCTATGACGATCTAAAGCGGGTCATCCATCAACGGGTCGGTCGCTCCCCTGAACAGCATCGTCAGCGCTTCCGCTCAGTGTAGCTGGGGGACAGCAGCCGACCTTTTGGACAACAACATCTGACTAGAGTCAACGGTCCAGAACACAAGTCGGCCAATGCTTAAAAACAGCCCTACACTACCTGATGGCTTGGTGTGCTTGGCTTTAAAGAGGCTTGGGAAGAGGGGCCTTCAAACAGCCGTAGTGAAATTCAGTATGTCATGGAGCTCTGAGCAAAACTCCACACTCTCAGGACAGGACAGCACAAGACAGACAAAGTCGGCTGTACAACAAAGGAACGCTACGGCATCTAGATCTAAGTCCTAAGGCAAGGATCTTCTGTGTTGGGGATCTCGATCATGAGGTAAGACAAACAGACGGGTGATTCATATCAAATGCATCATCTCAATCTTTTAAAAGGCTGGAATGAGGTGAGATTGTTTGAGTTAACAACAGCCGTTCCAACAGAGGAAGACCTCGGACCAGCAGCTGCTGTCAAACCCAATCCGCTCACTCTGGGGAGATCCGGGGAGATCAATTCTCGCCGCTGCAGATCTCTGATTTAGCAAAGTTGCAAGCAGATTTTGCAGATGTTTTCACCCCTGCCTGGTCACACAGACCTCATACAGCACCATGTCAAAACAATGCCCTGGGAAAGTGGCACACAGCCATCCCTATCCTTTACCTGAACACAAGAAAAAAGTGGTAAAGGACGAAATAAAGACCACGCTAGAGCTTAGAGTAATATAAGAATCGCATAGCGACTGGGCAAGCCCGATAGCTTTGGTACAATAGAAGGGGGAATGCGGTGTCAAACTTCAACATTTATCCAATGCCCCAAATGGTAAATGGACTGCATTTATAGACCCAATGGCCACCAAAGCGCTTTACAATTTGCCTCACATTCACCCATTCATTCACCCATTCACACACCGACGGCGGTGTCAGCCATGCAAGGCGCCAGCCTGCTCGTCGGGAGCAGCTGGGGTTAGGTGTCTTGCTCATGGACACCTCGACACTTGGTCAGGTGGAACCGGGGATTGAACCACCAACCTTTCGGTTCGTAGGCAACCTACATGAACCACTGAGCCACTGCCGCCCATGGGAGGGGCGGCCGAAGTTGATGAGCTGATTGATCAGTTAGGTTAGGCACTGGATTTGACAAAAGGGTACTGGCAGATCCGCTTATCGCCATTACCCAAAGAAATATAGCCTTCACAACACCATTCGGATTACACTAATTTATTACTCTTCCGTTATGTTGTTTGGGGCTCCCGCCACCTTTCACCATCTCATGGACAAAAATCCTTCCGCCTCATTCCGCGGATGCCACTGCCTTTCTTGACAACATTATCATATAAAGTCATGATTGGCATCTGGAACATCTCATCAGATAGCTGGACTCACAGCGAACCAGCGGAAGTGTGCATTTGGGCGAGTGGAGGCGTGGAGCACACGCACAGTATATGGGCTTTCACTTGGGACATGGGCAGGTCCATCCCCAAATTGATAAGATGATAACTGATAAAACTGCTGAAGTCCCAAGACCAAAAAGGAGGTGAGACAGTTTCTGGGGCTGGTAGATATTATAGTAGATATTTATTCCTAATTATTCGGCTCACCAGCCCGCTGACTGATCTCACTAAATAAGGAAGCACCAGAACCGGTCCAGAGGACAGATCTGTGCCAACAAGCCATAACCAAAGAAAAGGCCGGCACACTGGCGGCCCGCTCTTACACTCTCCTAACTTTGATCTCCATTTTCTGTTGCAGACAGACGCGTCGGATATGGGGCTGGGGTGCAGTCCTGTCGCAGGAGGTCGGAGGAGCTGAATCGGAGTCGAAAGTACTCTTAAACAGAGAGAGCAGATACAGCATCATTGGAAAAGAGCGTTTGGCCGTCCTCACCCTCCATTATTTCCTCCTGGGATGGGAATGTCTATTCGAATCATTCGCCCCTCTATTGGCTCCAACATGTGGATCACCAGTTGGTTTTTAGCTTTACAGCCGTTTAAGTTCAAGGTGGTTCACAGGAGGAAGGCATAGTCGGCTGTAGGCGACTTGCTCTCCTTGGATACGTGAAGCTCTTAAAGTGACAGCAGCCTAATATCGCTGCTGCTGTCTTTGTCTTCAATGTTAATGTAACGATGAAAGACAGCGAAAATCACTCACTGCTCTTGACTGGTTGAGCTTTGCTGGAGCAGCTCTAAATATTTACTGTACTATTAAATTGAAGTCAAAATACGATCAATAATACGAACAGTGAAAGTAACAGCAGCTCCAACAATACATAAGTATAAAATTTGTAATAAATAATTAGAGAAAATTTTAAACATTTTAAGAACAATATTTTATTGAAAAATATTTTAGCATAAATAATATATTACCAGTTTTCAAAAAATAATTCAATTTTAATCATTTTAAAATATATTCATATTGCAAATGTTATACTAATTATTTTTTAATAATATTTCATTATATTTAAAATATATTTTCTATATTAAAAACATTTCATTAAATTGTATTATTATTATATTTCTATAATATTAGTTTTTTTTTAACAAAAAGGTCACTATATATATATATATATATATATATGGTAAACCATAAACACCAAAAACATAATTATATGGTAATATACAGTAGTCAACATTTGAAGTGGATAAAAACCTTTCATCAAAGTTATACATGAATTTTGAACAATACCCCGGACGATTTTCAAAAACCTTTTTGATCCACTTCAAATGTTGACTAATGTATTTGAAGATGATTGCTGTTGTGGCGATTCTATTCACCATATAATGATATAATGGTGATTTTATATTTATGTAAAAACTAATATTATAGAAATATTATATATATATATATATATATATATATATCAGCATTGAATTGTTTTTATTATATATAACCCCCCCCCCCCCCTTCACACACGCACTCGCTTACTTCTCTCTCTCTCTCTCTCTCTCTCTCTCTCTCTCTCTCTCATACACACACACTCACAGTATGATGTTTTTTGATTATAAGTCAGCAGCTCAGACTCACTCGTGTCCATGAGCTCCACCTGTACCGCCGACAGAGCATCTCTCTGCAGTGACTCTCAGTAGTTCAGTCTTCAGTCCCTGGATCTCCTGGTTCCTCCTCCGGATCTCCTGATGAAGAGCTGCAGCCTCTTCCTCCAAGCAACTGACTGATCTCCACCGCGGCCGCCTTCATGATCGCGGAGAATCTGCGTCTGGAACATCCGCGGAGCTCATCTCGCTATCAAAGCTCTCTGCAGTTACATTACCATGGAGAAAAACACAATCCACCATTGCTGCTTCTCGGGGTCCTGCTGCTCATTCGGGGCGTGACGTGTTTCCGGTAGGAAACGCTCACCAAAGTAAAAGACACGCGAGCGGCGGATGCAAAATAGAGATTTATTTCTGCGAAAAGGGGCAATGAAGATACTACACACATACAGTCTTTTCACCTCATTAATACTTTTATTCAAGAAAACAGGCGGAAAAAATATGTAATTCAAAATCTAAGACTTGCATGAAGCCATTTCTGTATGATTTTCTCTATATTAAGTTTATTTTATTTTAAACGTCATTTATTTAAATACAATTTGACATACTGTTGTACTGTAGTTTAAACATTTCTTATTTCTTCATTAGTTATTGGACATGATACTGTCATGCGAGGTAGCCAAAATCCTTTTTTATTAATTTTTTTTTTAATTTAAATTAAAGCTTCTTTCATTTCAAGTAACAAAAGTTGTTTTATTGTTTAGTTAACTATAATAACCCTGGGGAATCGCTATTGTTACAAACTTGTTCATCATGGAATAGTATTTTCATGGCAGGAGAGAAACGTTGCATAATAAATGTGTAAGATGTGTAAAACAGGCCTGTAACACAGTTTGTTTTAATGGGAAGGAGGAGGCGGGAACCGGCGAACGTTTAACACACACTTTAATAATAAAATAAACAAATACAAAAAAGATGGAGATAGCAGCTCCTCACGGACAACTGCCTGCCCCACATGATGAAACAGAAATGCAGGCCTGTCCTCTCTCTTCCTTCACTGTCGTCGCTCCTCCTTTTATGCTTCTGCTCCTCCCTGAGAGATACGAGACCGACGCGTCGCACAGGCGACGCTCATCAGTAGGGTTGGGTATCGGTTGGGTTTTATCCGATAGCAGTACCTACTCGCAGACTGATCTCATGAAGTAGTGTGTGTATGCCACGCCAATTCGTATTTCCATTTTTGGCGTGCTATCAAGACCCATAATCGCCTTTCAGCGTGTTTATGAACGCCGTTGACTTAACGTTATATAAATATATGACTTACCTCAACCCCGTCCCTAAACCTAACCGTCACTGGGGTTAATGGCATTTATGACTGGAGATTTGACGTCGTGTACAGACACGTGGAATGACGCGGACGTTAATGGCGTAGACATACACGCATACACGCGGATACACGCGGATAGCTCAAAATGCGTAGAGATAACACGCCACCTGACTCGAAAGTGGCGTGTATGTTTACGCAAAAGTCATGATGTCATGTTGCTACTCGGTACTTTTTAGCTCTTGAAATGGTACTGAAAACGAAACCGCACACACTTTATCAAATAATTAATAATACCCCTTTATTTACAGGGCCAAACTGGACACAATATTAACTCAAATCTTTAAACAATATCAATACAAGTAACATATGGTAAAAAAAAAAAAAAAAAAAAAATCACATTTACATAATATCGACATGGCTACAGGTTGCCATGTTTTGTCTGTTTGAACCAGTCATGCAAGTTATCTGGTCATACTAGTTATGCAGCGCTTAGCCTGGCATGAGTTTGGTATTTCGTTCCCAAACCGTATAGTGCGCGTACGGCTTTGCGTGTGTGCGCCTCATGACACAGATACTCCTTTTCCACCAACAAGAACCAGGTGCTGGTTCAGAGATAGTGCTGGTTTGGAGTTGGTTCGACTGACGAGCTGTTAAAGAACCGGTTTGCCTTTCCACAGGCTAGAGAGCCATCACAGAGCCAGATCTTATGTCACTGTATACATCTCAAGTGGCCAGCAACGCTAGCGCGGCACGCACAAACACACCAGGCTTGTTCGAGATGGTTCGGCACTGTGTATCTCGAACTACGAGAGCGATTCGAAAAAACATTTGAAAAAGATTCGATTCAAAAGCAGAAGGAGTCGTAAACTCTCCAAACACTCCCGCAGCTCCGATCATTCCACGCCGCTCCGATGCATTTCGAACAAGCCTTCCATCAACAATGGCGGTTGTTGCGTTACTATTTATGCTCATGGCTTTCCGAATCACACAGCGAATCCAGCCTGCCAAAACTTGCGTTAACGGAGATTACAATCGAGCTGCTATTGGCACGATTAGCTGCTATTTAAAAAATGGCTGTCACAAGTTTCTATTTGTCTTGTTGGTCACGGTAACCGGTTCGGGGATCAACTTATCCAGACTATTCTCTAAGATGTCTGTATACACGACGTGACCTGTCTTTATAAAGTATCGGTCTGTACACTTACACAGTTCTCAATGCTTCGTTTTGCATGCAGGGACCCTCATTATGTTACTGCGTTAGTGTGGGGCTATTTTGAGCCTTGTTAGTGGAATAAACTAGCGATTTCTAACTCCCAGAAGAAGGCATGTAGCCGAAACGCGTTGGAGTTTTTTAGATGGTTGATTTGACCAAGCCATAGTAATAAAGGCTTTTTAACTTTTCTACTTGAGAGTGCCTTGGAGTCCTCTTGCTTTTTCGTCATATTCAGTTTCCCATCCAAAGAGCACCTCTATTTTAACCAAACTTTGAAATCCAGGAAGCGCTCCTTTACGCCTACTGTTTGCTAGCGATTTCTTTTTACTTAGTAAATGCCCCCAGTACAGTTTTTAGAGATAAAATTGTTTACATTCGATTATCATGAAAACAAATCTCAGAGAACGGTAGACTAGGTACCGATGTTATATTAGACCAAAGGTTCATTTTGCACCAGAGTTCTCCTTTAAGAACCACTTTTACTGGTTCGGAGCTGGTGCTTTGGTGGTCGAAAAACAAAGAACCAATTTGAAACTAGGCTCCGAACCAGCACCAGCTCTGCCTTGGTGGAAAAGGCACCGAAATTTCCATTCTTATTCGGTCTGGTTACTACCGTTTACGTTGGAACCTGTTCCCTATTGGCACCGTGTTTCGGTACCATTCTCTCACGGCCCTCGGCATCGTCCTGATCGCCACGAGGCCTTAATGACGTTATGCAACAGAAGCTAATATCAACAAAGTTACAGTTCTAAGAAATCTCACTTTGAGTGGTTGTGTTCATCATCTCTGTCTTCTGTGCAAGCGCATGTGTCTGAGACAGCTGTCCTGTCTGGAGAAGGTATTGCCGCACACCTGACAGCGGAAGGGTTTCTCGCCCGTGTGCACTAGCTTGTGTGTTAAAAGACGCTTCCTTTCTGTGAAGCTCCTCCCGCACTCGTCACATCTGAAGGGTTTTTCTTTCGAGTGCACTAGTTTGTGTGTTAACAGCCGCCCCCTGAGTACGAACCCTTTCCCGCACTCCTCACATCGGAAAGGTCTTTCGTTTGTGTGCACTCGTTTTTTGTGTGTCAACAGCCGAGCCCTCTGTGGGAAGCCTTTCCCGCACTCGTCACATCGGAAGGGTCTTTCGTTTGTGTGCACTTGTTTTTTGTGTGTTAAAAGCCGATTCTTCTGTGTGAAGCGTATCCCGCACTCCTCGCACCTGAAAGGTTTTTCTTTCGAGTGCACTAGTTTGTGTTGTACGAGCCGCCCCCTCTGTGGGAAGCCTTTCCCGCACTCGTCACATCGGAAGGGTTTGGGTTCTGTGTGCTTGCCGGCATTCAGACTCTGTGGGAGCGTTTTGGGCAAACACGAGCTTGAATGTGAGGATGGGAGTGTGTTGAACGGCGTCGATTCAGACTCGCTTGTGCTGGGCGAGCTTCTATGGGAATCCTGAAGATTCAAGTCATACTCAATGTCTGCAACGCCAAAGCTCTCGTTCTGCAGAACAGCCAATAAACCGGACTGAGTTGACGTGGTCGTCGGATCCTCCATCCCATATGGATCTGTAAAACTCTGGGAATGTTGTTCCGACTCCACAAGATTTTCCGGATGGTCAAACACTTTCCCGGAACACCATAAACGAGAGTTTCCGTCATGGCAGTGGTTTTGTCCTTTACACTTCTGCTTTTCCTGAACTTGACCCAGTGTCTGATCCACAAGTTCTTCCACCTGTTCGATCTTCATCTCAAACTCCAGTCCGCTGAGCTCCTCTTCCTCCGGTTCCTTCAGCGGCGGTACAGACTCTTCTTGTTTCAAAAGTTGTGCATTCACATCCGCCGCATGTGTAAAGTGAGGTTTCTCCTCTGAGAGATTCTTCACAACGACCTTTTCCTGGCTGCGATGATCAGCCTGAGCTTCCCGCGAATGAGCGGTTACACCTGTCGAGAAGTCACGTGTCAATAAGACGTTTTAATTCAAATTCTACAAACAAAACAAACAGTTCCTAGTCTAAAATCTGTATGAATGTCAGTTTTAGTTGAATTTCATGCTAATACATTAAGCAGCTACAATAATTAGGCTAATAAACCAATTTACTAGATGGAAAAATAGTTTGATAATTATTAGAACTGAAATATTTTTTGAAAACTAGTGAAGTTTATTGTTCGCAAACAGAGAACGGATATATCAGAAGGAAGTTGTGGCGAGGGGGGCGTGGGAATGTGAAGTCTGCAGCAGGGGAACGAGTGTGGTTGCACACTGCGTACGAAATTTTGGTATGCGTTTTTTCCGTGTTCGTCAGCCTATAAATTCGTTACGCACAGAAACCTTGCACACCGAGTCCGATGCGTATTTATTAAACCAAATTAAATACAAAATGAATTCGTCAAGCAGTGAGGATGATTTTGTTGCCCTCTCTCTTATTGAAAAGAGAAATAGAAAATATTGCGTTTGCGTCCATCCAATCGTGAAATTGCGCCGAGAGGAAGCACCTCCTTATCAAGGAGTTGCGATTCAAAATTGACTTCAGAATGTCAGTGGAAAAGTTTGATGCTGGATCCGCATTTAAGAAACAAGACCATCAATTTCCGTGAACCAATCGATTCTGATCAGAGACTGGCGGCATGTTGAAAGTATGGAGACACACACACACGTGCGCGCAGTAGGATAGGCTGTTATATTGTACCCAAATAATACATTAGTTATCGAATTGGCTGCTCAATCACACATTTTAATCGATCCGAAATTTCAATCTGATTGAAAGGGGAGATTATTCCTTTCACAATCCAATCGAGAGAAGAGAACATTTACACTTGATCGAATTAAAAACTGAAACTGAAAGCACTCTGCATATGTGCAATGATGTGCAGAAAGAGCTCCAGTCAGCAATGAATTGTCAAAAAAACCTCTCAAAATGCTGGCTGTGGATGTGAAAAACGCAAAAAAAAAAAAAAAAAATCGAACCCGATCCGAATTTTTTTATGACGCACGAAAGTTTCGGAGGCGGTGTGCAAGCGTGTTTGACATAACAGTTAAAAATAGATTTAATTTATGGTTAATGAGAGATTTGTCATTAAATGGTAGAATTCTTTTATCAAAAACTGAATGTTTATCTCGTCTACTCTATCCTGCTATTTCACTAGAAGTCCCGAATAACATCATTAAAGAAGTTGATACAAATCTTTTCAATTTCATCTGGAGAAATAGATCCCACTACTTAAAAAAAAGATACTTTAACTAATTCATTTGGTGATGGAGGTTTGAATGTGCTTGACTTCAGCACCTCAAATTCAATTTTAAAAAATAGATGGATCAAGCATTACTTTCAATATAAATATAAAATTTGGTATTTAATCCCTAATCTAATTTTTGAAAAGATGGGTGGGCTTGCTTTTCTGTTGAAATGCAACTTCGAAATCAGTAAGATTCCCGTTAGATTAAGTAATTTTCACAGGCAGGTGCTTCTCTCATGGCTGCTTATCTATAAACTTAATTTTTCTCCAAAAAAATGTATTATTTGGAATAACAGGTATATAACTTTTAAGCATAAAACTTTTTTTTTTCAAAAATGGGTTGATAATGGCATCATTTTTGTCAAACAGTTATTCAATGAAAATGGGCACCTGTATACCTATGCAGAGTTTCTTCAAAGATACAATATTCCAATAATACCAAAAGAATATTGTATAGTGTTTGATGCTTTACCATCTGGTTTAAAGTGTCTGTTTAAAGGAAATGTGAATAACGAGATTGTGAATCTCAGACCTGATGTTGTAATTAATGGAGTTACTATTACTGATAGAAGATGGAACAATTACTTTATTAGGAAGTTACTAACTGAATACAGCCCGATATCTTCTAAAACATACTGGTATTCTAAGGTTGATTGCATTGACTGGAAATATGCATGGTTGCTGCCAAAAAAATATTGCATAACAAATAAGGTGAGAGAAGTGCATTTTAAAATACTTCATCTGGTGTACCCAGTAAAAACTCTTTTTCTAAGGTTTCGCACTGATGTAGATGTTAAATGTGATTTCTGTGGGATGGAGAAAGAAAATGTTGTCCACTTATTTTTTAATTGCATTTATAGCAAAATGTTTTGGGTGGATATGGAATGTTTTCTTTGTAAATGGTTAGGAATGAACTTTTTCTTTTCTGAAAAAGATGTCTTTTTTTATTTTAATAGACAAAGTTTATCTCAAAATGTGGCCTTTGTTGTTAACCTCTGTTTGATTATGGGGAAATATCATATACACAAGCAAAAATGGGCTAAAGGGAAACCAAATTTTTTTTTTATTTGAGATAGAAATGAAAAATTATTGTGAGTTACTTCTTGGGTTAAAAAATAGTAAAGCAAAACGTACGAGGTCTTTATGTGAAGCTTTTATGTTATTTACTTCATGATCTCATACCGGTTTCTTTTTTTGTTTGTTTGTTTTTTATTGTATTATTATTTTAATTTATGTTGTATTTTTTTATTTACTGTAATGTATAATTATTTCAATAAAAAAAAAAAAGCGTGTTTGACATAACGTGAGGTCGATTTTTTTTTTTAACGTGCGAAAATTTCGGATGCAAATTTCGGACTTGGTGTGCAATGGCCTAAACAGGATAACGAAAAAATATAAATAATATAAATATATAATTCATAAATAATAAACATCACCAGTTTTTTTTTTAATGTGATACTATATATATATATATATATATATATAGACCCCACCAAACACATACTCTCTCTCTCTCTCTCTCTCTCTCTCTCTCTCTCACTCACACACACACACACACACACACACACACACACACACACACACGAACGAACACACTCACAGTATGATGTTTTTTGATATAAGTCAGCAGCTCAGACTCACTCGTGTCCATGAGCTCCACCTGTACGCCGACAGAGCATCTCTCTGCAGTGACTCTCAGTAGTTCAGTCTTCAGTCCCTGGATCTCCTGGTTCCTCCTCCGGATCTCCTGATGAAGAGCTGCAGCCTCTTCCTCCAGCAACTGACTGATCTCCACCGCGGCCGCCTTCATGATCGCGGAGATCTGCGTCTGGAACATCCCCGCGGAGCTCATCTCGCTATCAAAGCTCTCTGCAGTTACATTACCATGGAGAAAAACACAATCCACCATTGCTGCTTCTCGGGGTCCTGCTGCTCATTCGGGGCGTGACGTGTTTCCGGTAGGAAGCGCTCACCAAAGTAAAAGACACGCGAGCGGCGGATGCAAAATAGAGATTTATTTCTGCGAAAAGGCGCAATGAAGATACTACAGTCACATACAGTCTTTTCACCCCATTAATACTTTTATTGAACAAGACAGGCGGAAAAAATATGTAGTTAAAAATCTAAAGAAAACACTTACAAGCCATTTCTGTAGGCTACATGATTTTCTATAGGCTATTAAGTTTTATTTTATGTATTTAAACATTATGTATTTATTTGTATTCATTTATAGGCTATATTTCTTTAATAAATGTTATATTATTTTTTAGTGGAAGATTTATTATTGGATATATTATTTATTCAATATATTGGATATACTGACATGTGAGCGTCTCAACATTAAATGATTTGTTCACCCAAAAATTTAAATTCTGTTTATTAATTACTCACCCAAATGTCGTTTCAGACCCGTAAGACTTTCGATCATCTTCATACACAAATAGTCATCCCTGATTGGTCTTAACCCCAGTGACGGGTAGGTTTAGGGCGTATTTAGGGGTAAACCATCGTGGGGTCCGGATAACAGGAAAGTACCGATATTTTAAATGAAATCTGAGAGATTTCTGTCAGTCCCTTTACAGTCCATGTAACTACAACTTTAATGCTTTAAAAAAATCAAGAGATAAAACTAATTGAATGTTTTAATCCAAATTTTCTCAAGAGGCTCGGTTGCTTTATATCATTCAGACAGAATTTAGCCTTTTATTCACATATAAACAACATACAAACATATCAGATATGATAAAGGGAAGCTCAAGCATGTTCACTTGACTTGTGAAAACCAATGAGGTTCATACTCGCGTTACGTAGCATGTTTGAGTCTGGTTCGTGGATCTCAAGTCCGGTGGTCCGGTTGGACACGACTTTGGTGGTCTTTGGTTTCTGTTCCTGAGCCGGTGTCGGTTCCGGTTCCGCACTGTTCTCCTGAATGGCAGGTTCCGCTCAGGCCACCCAAGGAGAAGTCTCTGCCCTGGCCGCCCAATGGACTGTCTGTTCTGCCTGGTCGATGAAATTTATTCTCGTGTTACGCAGCACGTTTGAGCTTTTGGAAGAACCAATGAGGTTTGTTCTTACAGTGGGGCCAAAAAGTATTTAGTCAGCCACTGATTGTGCAAGTTCTCCTACTTAGAATGATGAGAGAGGTCTGTAATTTTCATCATAGGTACACATTAACAATGAGAGACAAAATGAAAAAAAAAAAATCCAGGAAATCACATTGTAGGATTTTTAAAGAATTTATTTGTAAATTATGGTGGGAAATAAATATTTGTTCAATAACAAAAGTTCAACTCAATACTTTGTAACATAACCTTTGTTGGCAATGACAGAGGTCAAACGTTTCCTGTAAGTCTTCAGCAGGTTTGCACACACGGTAGCTGGTGTTTTGGCCCATTCCTCCATGCAGATCTCCTCTAGAGCAGTCGCTGTCGCTGGCCAACACGGACTCCACAAATTTTCTATGGGGTTGAGGTCTGGACATTGGCTAGGCCACTCCAGGACCTTGAAATGCTTTTTACGGAGTCACTCCTTCGTTGCCCGAGCGGTGTGTTTGGGATCATTGTCACGTTTCATCTTCAAGGCTCTCACTGATGGAAGGAGGTTTTGGCTTAAAATCTCACAATACACGGCCCCGTTCATTCTTCCCTCAACACGGATCCTTTTTCCGGTCCCCTTTGCAGAAAAACAGCCCCAAAGCATGATGTTTCCTCCCGCATGCTTCACAGCAGGTATGGTGTTCTTGGGACGCAACTCTGCATTATTCTTCCTCCAAACACGACGAGTTGAGTTTTTACCAAAAAGTTCTATCTTGACCACATGATATTCTCCCAATCCTCTTCTGGATCATCCATATGCTCTCTGGCAAACTTCAGACAGGCCTGGACATGTGCTGGCTTCAGCAGGAGGACACGCCTGGCACTGCAGGATTAGGGTCCCTCTCGGTGTAGTGTGTTACTGAAGGATTAGGGTCCCTCTCGGTGTAGTGTGTTACTGCAGGATTAGGGTCCCTCTCGGTGTAGTGTGTTACTGCAGGATTAGGGTTCCTCTCGGTGTAGTGTGTTACTGCAGGATTAGGGTCCCTCTCGGTGTAGTGTGTTCCTGCAGGATTAGGGTCCCTCTCGGTGTAGTGTGTTCCTGCAGGATTAGGGTCCCTCTCGGTGTAGTGTGTTACTGCAGGATTAGGGTCCCTCTCGGTGTAGTGTGTTCCTGCAGGATTAGGGTCCCTCTCGGTGTAGTGTGTTACTGCAGGATTAGGGTCCCTCTCGGTGTAGTGTGTTCCTGCAGGATTAGGGTCCCTCTCGGTGTAGTGTGTTCCTGCAGGATTAGGGTCCCTCTCGGTGTAGTGTGTTACTGCAAGATTAGTCCCTCTCGGTGTAGTGTGTTACTGCAGGATTAGGGTCCCTCTCGGTGTAGTGTGTTACTGCAGGATTAGGGTCCCTCTCGGTGTAGTGTGTTCCTGCAGGATTAGGGTCCCTCTCGGTGTAGTGTGTTACTGCAGGATTAGGGTCCCTCTCGGTGTAGTGTGTTACTGCAGGATTAGGGTCCCTCTCGGTGTAGTGTGTTCCTGCAGGATTAGGGTCCCTCTCGGTGTAGTGTGTTACTGCAGGATTAGGGTCCCTCTCGGTGTAGTGTGTTACTGCAGGATTAGGGTCCCTCTCGGTGTAGTGTGTTACTGCAGGATTAGGGTCCCTCTCGGTGTAGTGTGTTACTGCAGGATTAGGGTCCCTCTCGGTGTAGTGTGTTCCTGCAGGATTAGGGTCCCTCTCGGTGTAGTGTGTTCCTGCAGGATTAGGGTCCCTCTCGGTGTAGTGTGTTACTGCAAGATTAGTCCCTCTCGGTGTAGTGTGTTACTGCAGGATTAGGGTCCCTCTCGGTGTAGTGTGTTACTGCAGGATTAGGGTCCCTCTCGGTGTAGTGTGTTACTGCAGGATTAGGGTCCCTCTCGGTGTAGTGTGTTCCTGCAGGATTAGGGTCCCTCTCGGTGTAGTGTGTTACTGCAGGATTAGGGTCCCTCTCGGTGTAGTGTGTTACTGCAGGATTAGGGTCCCTCTCGGTGTAGTGTGTTCCTGCAGGATTAGGGTCCCTCTCGGTGTAGTGTGTTACTGCAGGATTAGGGTCCCTCTCGGTGTAGTGTGTTCCTGCAGGATTAGGGTCCCTCTCGGTGTAGTGTGTTCCTGCAGGATTAGGGTCCCTCTCGGTGTAGTGTGTTACTGCAAGATTAGTCCCTCTCGGTGTAGTGTGTTACTGCAGGATTAGGGTCCCTCTCGGTGTAGTGTGTTACTGCAGGATTAGTCCCTCTCGGTGTAGTGTGTTACTGCAGGATTAGGGTCCCTCTCGGTGTAGTGTGTTACTGCAGGATTAGGGTCCCTCTCGGTGTAGTGTGTTACTGCAGGATTAGGGTCCCTCTCGGTGTAGTGTGTTCCTGCAGGATTAGGGTCCCTCTCGGTGTAGTGTGTTCCTGCAGGATTAGGGTCCCTCTCGGTGTAGTGTGTTACTGCAGGATTAGGGTCCCTCTCGGTGTAGTGTGTTCCTGCAGGATTAGGGTCCCTCTCGGTGTAGTGTGTTACTGATGGTAGCCTTCGTTACTTTGGTCCCAGCTCTCTGCAGGTCATTAATCAGGTCTTTTAATGTCCATAGTAGAGTGCATGTGATGTTTTATGGGGCTTTTATTGAAAGCATTATGACATTCTGTTTGAGTCGCTGGTTTGGTAAGGCTTCAGAGGCTAAGAAGAAATCGCTAAGAAAAGTTAGTAACAATGACAAGCAAACTGTTGGGAATTAAGTATATAAGAGCAGAACAAAGCTAACATAATTGTTGATGATACAAGGCATCCCTTATCTTATGTTTTTGAATCATTGCCGTGATCCGACCGTCGGTTCTGTGTTCCCTGATGCTTGAAAACAGGTCCAAACTATCTTTTATCCCCCAAGCAATAAATTCTTCTTCCAGTGTTGACTGATGGTCAGCTGGTCTGTTTATCCTAAATCAGATTTATTTGTTTTAAGTTATTGTTTGTATATGCCAACTGTGATTTATTTTAAAAGTCTGTGTGAGCTTGCTTTAAACTACTTTCCCTACGGGGACCAATGAACACTACTAATACTACAGTCGCTGTGCAAGCGCACATGTCTGAGACAGTTGTCCTGTCTGGAGAAGGTTTTACCGCACACCTGACAGCAGAAGGGTTTCTCGCCCGTGTGCACTAGTCTGTGTGTTAAAAGACGCTTCCTCTGTGTGAAGCCTTTCCCGCACTCCTCACATCTGAAGGGTTTTTCTTTCGAGTGCACTAGTTTGTGTGTTACTAGCCGCCCCCTCTGTGGGAAGCCTTTCCCGCACTCGTCACATCGGAAGGGTTTGGGTTCTGTGTGCTTGCCGGCATTCAGACTCTGTGGGAGTGTTTTGGGCAAACACGAGCTTGAATGTGAGGATGGGAGTGTGTTGAATGGCGTCGAGTCAGATGAGCTCGTTGTGGGCGAGTGTCTGTGGGAATCCTGAAAACTCAAGTCATACTCAATGTCTGCAACGCCAAAGCTCTCGTTCTGCAGAACAGCCAATAAACCGGACTGAGTTGACGTGGTCGTCGGATCCTCCATCCCATATGGATCTGTAAAACTCTGGGAATGTTGTTCCGAGTCCACAAGATTTTCCGGATGGTCAAACACTTTCCCGGAACACCATAAACGAGAGTTTCCGTCATGGCAGTGGTTTTGTCCTTTACACTTCTGCTTTTCCTGAACTTGACCCAGTGTCTGATCCACAAGTTCTTCCACCTGTTCGATCTTCATCTCAAACTCCAGTCCGCTGAGCTCCTCTTCCTCCGGTTCCTTCAGCGGCGGTACAGACTCTTCTTGTTTCAAAAGTTGTGCATTCACATCCGCCGCATGTGTAAAGTGAGGTTTCTCCTCTGAGAGATTCTTCACAACGACCCTTTCCTGGCTGCGATGATCAGTCTGAGCTTCCCGCGAATGAGCGGTTACACCTGTCGAGAAATACAAGACATAAGTCTTCAAGATTTTTTTTAAATTCTACAAAAAAAAACCCCAATTAGGTTCATTCTCATGTTACTCAGGTATGGCTGAGTTTCTGTTCATGTTCCCTGATCAGTGTTTATATGTGAATAACAGCCTAAATTCAATCTGTTATCATATAAAGTAATCAAGTCTCCTCAGAAAATTATATTTATAAAATGTCAATGGAGGGACAGAAATCTCTCAGATTTACAAACATACACATATTCATGCAATAAATTGTGTAAAGTAAATTGCCCAGAAAAACATGACCGCAACGATTTTACATCAGAAAGTCATAGGTTTTATTGTCATTTGCAAAATGCATCTAATCAATGCTTCCATTTTAAATAATTCACACAAACACAAAGGAGCAAAAAAACAACATAGAAGACACAGCATAGTTTTACTGGCTTTAAAATTAAAAATTTAAATCATGTATATAAATGAAATGCATTGTATGTGACAGTTGAAAAAAACAAATCCTGAAAAAAAGTATATCAAACTTAAAGCAATATTACTAATTTATCATAAAAAACAAGCAAGTCAAATTTAAAATATTGTGGCATTTCATAAAATCTTGTCAGCATGGATCTGTGACTGTGAATGCTACCAAAACGCATACGCGTCCTCTTCAGAGTGGCTGCGCTGGTGCAGTTTTAGCGAGTTTAGATGCGAGTAGGACTTGCCGCATTCTTCACAACTGTAAGGTTTCTCTCCGGTGTGTGAGCGCTGGTGTGAGATCAGGTGAGAGTTGCAGTAAAAGCCTTTGCCGCACTGAGGGCAGGTGTACGGTCTCTCTCCGGTGTGGATTCTTTGGTGGATCTTCAGGTAGAAGCGAGTAGTGAAGGTCTTTCCGCACTGAGGGCAGCGAGAGCTTCTCTCCGCATTTGTGTCCGCTCTGTGATCTGACGCTGACGGAAGCGCATGGTTAGCGGCCGCGGTTCTGTACGGTTCGTCCACGTGCCGACGGTTCGGAGACACACCTGTGACGAATCGCTCACCTGTTTCCAGAGGAGAAGCGTCCAAACTCAGGGCTCCGGAGTTCGCTGGATATTCCTGGGACACCGGTGAACTCCACAGTCCACCGGGCTTCATTTTACTCGTTAGCATAAAATCACTACCTAAAGATTGACGAACAAAGAACAGAGTTCATAATTCAGAGAGGCCCATAATTCTAAAGATTGGTTAGTCCAACTAGTCCTGATATGAAGTGATCTCTGACCAACTCTAGCTGGTCCTGTTGTTCCCGTGCCGAAACTATCCTGGTCTTCCACCTCTGGACCCAACGGGGAAAGAGCCGGAGAAACTAGGGATGAAATCAATCAACCAAATGAGCATAAAATGACTGAGAATGTGTATTAGAATATCATGTTTTGGCATCTGATATAAAACAGAGTGTGTTTTACTCGGCCCACTGTCCCACTGGTCGTCCTCCATGTGTTCCTCTTTGATCTGAATTGGTTTGATTCCGTCTTCCTGCAGTTTAGAACGACAAAGAATCGGGTTACTCTATGACGTCTACTGAAGAAGAATCTAATAATGAAGATCCTTACGTTCAGTGTGAACGTCTGCGCTGAAGAAACGTCCGTGTGTGTCTCCGTCTGTGATTCTCCGTCATGATTATCATTTATCTTTACGCAGTTGAGGTTTACCTCTGGTGAGAAATGGTTTTTGAAAAAGGATGAAATGCAACAGACACATGCACTGCTAAAGGTGCAGTGAGCGATTTCTGAGAAACTGATATTTACAATCACCAAAACAAATGCCTCTACCCCTCTTGATTGCTCCGCCCCCAAAGTCACAATCACCTCCCCCATCATAGCCTTATTGCTGACTGGCTACAAGTGTGTTGTAGCGCTGTTTCTCAGAAATCTCTTACTGCACTCATTTATTCACCCTCATGTCTTTCCAAATCCATTGGACCCTATACCGCCTAAGCTACTGATATATCCATATCTAGATCAGACGGAGGACCTGCACCTAGACACGACCACATCGCATGATGTAGTCAGCCGAATGCGGGCCGTATCCAGATCAGATGGAGGACCTGCGCTTAGACACGACCACAACGCATCCCTGAAGTGTCAGCAGGAATTGTGTCAACTAGACTCTCCACTGTGAAGGCCTCATCGACCTGGATTAAAGTTTTCAAAAAAAGGTTTTCAAAATGACTCCCGTTCACACACATCCGTGTGTTTATTATTAAAGCTGCATTAAAGAAATACAGGTCTGGAACGACATGAGGGCGAGTACATGATAGAAGAATAGGGTTGGGTATCGAGAATCGAGTATCGATTGGAACCGGGACTAACTTTTCGTTTTTCCCGGAATCGTTCAAAAGTTAAAATTTCGATTCCTAGTTTCGATATTCACAGTCCGCCGAGCGGAAGAAGAAACCGCTGGACAACACCAACGAAGAAGCGTCTACCGGAAGTGTTGGCATAACCGCGCGAGTCGAACATGAGTAGCTTACGTCGGCGATCCAAAGTGTGGCTTCACTTTTCTAAAAATTAACGAAATCTCGGCAAAATGCTAAATTTGTGACAAAAGGAGTATTTTTACCGAAGGAGTATTTCCTTCAGAAAGACCGTTGGTTAGCAAGGTTAGCTAAACTTTTTTGACCCTGCCTCTTAAAAGAATCGGAATCGAGAATCGTTAGGAACCGGAATCGAAACAAGGAATCGGAATCAGAATCGTTCAAATTCAAATGATACCCAACCCTATAGAAGAAGGATCATTTTTGTATATAATACTCCTATAAGTGGTATTAACAACAGTACGCACTACGCAGCCATCTGGGGCCCGTTTCAATAAGGAGGTTCAACCAACTCTGAGTTAAAGCTTGAACTCAGAGTTGACTTACCCTGAGATGGGAAACTCTGAGTTTTCGGTTACAGAACAGCTGAAATGAGTTAGTTCAATCAACTCTGAGTTGACCGACTCTGAGTTAAGCGCGAGCACCACAGCTATAAAAAGCCATCATCAATGGAGCGCAGATATTACGAGTCACCATGGCAACAGCGCCAGACAAAAAGAGGTGTTGGGTATAATTAATTACCAAGTAATCTAAATATTGTAATTTAATTAAAGGGATTACTCTTAATTCATCTGTAATTTAAAATAAAATATGATGCAATTACATTAAATAGGCTACTGCATAAACTATAGACCAATTCAGTATAAAACAATAGTGGATTTAGCATACATTTTTAAAAGGTATATTTTTATATAACCTTCTCCCTCTACACACTTTGATCAAATCAAGAATAATTAATGCAATTGTATATTGTTATTAAAAGTTAAAAGTGCAGTTTCTTGTCTCTCCTCCTTGTATTAATCAAGTGGTTGAGGTTGATATAGGATTTAGTAATATGTAGACCAATACTTTCTAGAGATAGTAATTATTACATTAATCTAACTACACCGTTGAAGATGTCATTTGTTGTTAATAATTCATAACTATTTTAGAGTAACTGTTATAATATCAGAGGTGAAACTGGAAGAATGTTATTCAACCTAAAGTAGTCTACTATTACTTACATTTTTACTTAAGTAAAAGTAAAAATACCAGTCTAAAAAATCTACTCAAGTAAAAAGTAGTTAATTTAAAACATGAGTAAAAGTTGCTGAGTAACTTGTTTAACAGCGGGGGTGGGGTGGGGGACTCCCCCATGTGGGGTTGTAACGTATGAGAGTTTCACAGAAAATATCACGGTTTGGTATTAAACAATTGTTAAATATATAAACTGCATTATTAAATTACGGTTATTATTTTCATCAGTTAAAATGACAGTTAAATAAATTAAACATTTGTTCAATAAAACATAATATCAACTAACTTCAATAATTGATTATGATTGACATCTTATTTTTTATCATTAATAACTTATTAAATTTTATTAAATTTTTTTTAATGATTTAATAGAAATATATTATCCAAAACAGTGGTAATCAAATAAAAGTTTAGCAAATGTTTTAATCCTTTTATTTTTTGGCAAAGTGCTGCAAAACAGATTTAGTCAATTAAACCACGGACAAACAATTTATATATATTCCTTAAAGAATGTGTAAATACAACATTTTAGTATTATTGTTGGTGTTTAAACAGCACTTCCTCTTTAAAAAAGGGGAGGAGACCACAAGAAACTCTGGGTTTACTGAAGTTAACCGACCAGGTTAGGTTCACAGAGTAAGTTACCATGGTAACTGACTCTGAGTATAAGTTACCTCTCTTTCAGAAACGGGCTTGACTTATTCTGCTTTCTCGGGTTTGATATACCCCCCTTTCTGAAACGGAAAACCCAGCGTTTCCCTCATTTCAGGGATAACATACTCAGAGTTTTCACTTAACCTCCTTTCTGAAACAGGCCCCTGATACCTAGCCTATGTTTATATGTTGTATGATGTGTTTTTGCAAGCATTAATACTTAAAGTTAATATGATTTAGAATTTGCAACCCATTTTACTTCAGTATTGTAACATAGTACTGAATAAAAGCATATGGAATGAGAATGTAAAAATCAGATGATGAAAAGTGAATGTTATAGACCAGAATAGAGGCAGATCTGAATGAAGGTATAACTTTATCTTAGATGAGTTTTAAAGGATACAATGATTGACTACAGGGGGACGTTATACCGGTAATGTTAACAGAACGTTTGTTTAGTTAATTGGCCTTCAATGCATTAAATACATTGTTACTGAAACGTTTTTATTTAAGTTGGATACCCAGACAGCAAACTGACATTGAATAAACGTGGAAACGACATCTCTCATGACATTGAAACAACGTTGATTTGCTCATCGAATTAACGTTGAACCAACGTCAGACGCGGCATTCTTCAAAGCTAAATGAAATCGAAAATTGGTTTGCTTTCATAACGTTGAAAACAACGCGTTGATTTTCCGTTAGTTTTGAAAGAATGACGCGTCTGACGTTGGTTCAACGTTAATTCGATGAGCAAAACAATGTCAGATCAACGTTGTTTCGATGTCATATTTCCACGTTGATTCAATGTCAGTCTGCTATCTGGATAATCATCAAACATTTTTTAAATGTTACAGCTAATTTCAGAATGATCAGAGAACACTCAAAAGTAACATTCCAATATTTGCAAAATTATAAACTGGAACGGTCCTTCAATGTTCGCATAACCAATAAAAAACGGTTTTGAAAAACTGGTGGAACTCTACAGCCTTGCCTCATTTAGTATACATGTTCTATATGTAAATTATCCCCGCCTCCACTCACTCACAGCAGCTCAGAGATCACACGTTGACCTGATTGTTTTAAACCTTGATGGTTGTAAAAACCTGGGCTTTTAAGAGCATTCAGAAATAACATTTTCAATACTTAATTTTTTTTCGGAAGCATGTTTTTTTTTCTTTTTCCGGGCACTTTTTGTTAGGGTAGTAGCGCTTTTGAAGTTGTTGGCATACCAACGGTGTAAACTGACATTAAAATAATAAAAAAAAGTAAGTTAATACAATAAGGCAGATTGGTTTAATAAATAAACTCAAAATGCTACGTTGTCTGAACCACAAAAACTATCAAAGCTGTTTTGACAAAAGCTGATAAATCATGAAAATGACAGATTGCAGGGGCGGAGTCAAAACTTAGGTCTCTAGCTATTGGCTCAACAGCCGCGAGGCCTTGCATATGCATAGTACTTCACCGGTTTAAGAGCAAGTTAATACATTATGATTAAAGAGTGAATGGAGCAAAAGGCAGGGATGAGTCCCGCGTCATGTCGAGTTTAAACAGTGTCATCATCATGTGTGACTGAAGTACCTCTCTGTCCGCTGGTGTTGACTTGTGTTCCCACTGAGCGCAGGTTCGACTGGTTCTTTCGGGCTGATCGCAGTTCGCTCTCGGTAAACTGCAGTTTAAGCATCAGCGTCTCGACCTCCATCTTCCGGCGCGTCATCTCCTGCTCCACCGCGCGACTCATCTCCAGCAGCGCGCATTTGGCGAAGCGCTCGAGGATCGACGCGAGCGTCGCGTGGATATCAGCCGACGCAGACATTACAGCCGCTTAATGTCGAACAACACAAGACTATTGTTTGTAAAGTGTTTTCCAAAGAGCCTCGCGTCCAATCTGGTGTTCTTTCTTTCTTTCTTTCAGTCGCGCGCTGGGTTCGAGGACGCGGACAGTCGAGCATGTATCAATAGTGTTTACACAAATCTCACAAAACAGTTGACCGTTTTCCTGGTGGAGTGACGTCACCGTTTAAAGGACCAGTATACCCATTATGCTCATTATGACCGTAAATCCTAGTGTAGAAGCGCCGTTATAAATCATCAGGGGATCTTTCGCTTTAAATCTCGCAAGATCCCATTTCAGACGGTGATGACGTGTTTTAACGGTCATCATTGCAAATCCTGCAATTTTTTTATACTTTAATTTTTTAAATGTCTACAATGTATAACACTATACTTTGTATTATAGTATGTATTATTTTACTGTTGCATCGAATAACAAAAAAACCCTAGTTAACGCCGTGTAAAATTATTTCTCCCTTCGAACTGTCAATCTCTCTGTATTTTTTCTCATTTTGAAAGTTGTGGAAACAAGTTTTTCTTTTGCTATCTGAGCAAATTGGGACACATACACACTTAAAAAAAAATGTAATCTCGTATTCACCGCTATAGAAGTTTACCCAACTATGCCAACGGCCGGAAATGGTTAAAATGTTTTTGTATGCACCCAAAAAATGAACGCTGGTGTTTTGCATATTTAATATCCTATTCAAAAACGAGTAACAGAATCAGCCACAACTGGCCTAAAAAAGAGCAAGAATTGCAACTGCTATATAATATTCATATATTGTATTAACTGAAGAGGGTGGGAAAAAGAAACTACAGAAACTAAGAAAATGCGAAGTATAATCCGTTTTATTAATGCAGACAAAAATAACAAAAATGCTGAAACCTTACCCAGGTAATAGCACAAATGAAACACGGTGTTAAAATGTGTCAGATGAACATAAGATAAAACTAGAATAAATAGTAGCCTAACAGTAGAATATATAATAAAATGTAAATTTAAAAGTTGTAGTGTATAAAGTTGCACAAATAACATAAACTAATGAACAAATGTGGTATATAAGTGACAAATGAAAAATAAAATCTATACTTCTAGATGTGGAGATGCAAAGTGTAAATGGTTTTATGGAAGCTCGTTTCCACCACGGAATAAAAGAGGTAGGCTAATTGCGATTTTTAATCTCACAATTCTGACTTTATATCACGCAATTCTGACTTTATATCACGCAATTCTGACTTTATATCACACAATTCTGACTTTATATATCGCAATTCTGACTTTATATATCGCAATTCTGACTTTAAATCTCGCAATTCAGACTTTATAACACAATTCTGACTTTATATCTCGCAATTCTGACTTTATAACACACAATTCTGACTTTATATCACAATTCTGACTTTATATCTCGCAATTCTGACTTTATAACACACAATTCTGACTTTATAACACACAATTCTGACTTTATAACACAATTCTGACTTTATATCTCGCAATTCTGACTTTATATCACACAATTCTGACTTTATATCTCGCAATTCTGACTTTATAACACACAATTCTGACTTTATAACACAATTCTGACTTTATATCTCGCAATTCTGACTTTATATCTCGCAATTCTGACTTTATAACACACAATTCTGACTTTATATCTCGCAATTCTGACTTTATATCTCGCAATTCTGAAAAATAAAGTGACAATGTAAGATAAAGTGCCACATATCTTTTAAAATGTTTAATTCTGTGGCCGAAACAAGCTTCCATAGAGTTCAGATAAGACAATAAAACGAAGGCAACAAATAAATAGGCACCCAAATAAAAACATGCAATAAATATTTCAAACTATAAAGATGCACTTGAATATCTAACGCGGCATTGCATAGGGTAAGTGAATATAAAAGACTAATGAAATATAAAATATATCGACGGATGTGCAAATATGTACAGGCAAAATGAAAAGCAAAACAATACAAATGTAAAGGTACTGATGAACGCATGTTTGTCCTCAGTTCTCCACGCCGACGTCTTGCAGCGGCGTTCTCTTCTTCCGTCCACCCTCGCGGTCGCCGGCCAGATGAAACCAGCGGATGATGGCCTTCTCCACCTCCAGCTCCGTTATCTGCGCACACGTGGGGTTTCTCCTCACAGCCTCTACACACACACACACACACACACACACACACTTCTACTTTTACTCTCCAGGAGATGTTAATTCCTCCTCTAAACACTGGAAACGCACCATTATAAATCGAGACGCCAGGAAGATTTACCTCGAAAGCACTTACCAATCACAACGTTCTTAAACTCTAAACTTTGGAAGGATGTTTTCCCGTTCACTCCTCTCCAGTTGACAGTTTTGGCCAGGTCGTTTTTGATGGCCTGCTTCATGATCCGCCACACCGTGTCCTTCACGTCCACTCCGCCCAGTAAGCCCAGCTCATCCACCTGCAGGTGTACAACACCTCTTACTGTGCCGTCGGGGAAACGCACGCTCTGAATGCACTTTAACCACAACAGGGTTTTCTAAGTGACACTGATATTTTGGCAAATTACACTAAAGAATAAAGAACTAGTAATGTTGGCTTGACAATTCCCAGATAGCAAACTGATTAAATCAACGTGTAAAAATGACATCGAAACAAACAACGTTGATCTGGCATTGTTTTGCTCATCGAATTAACGTTGAACCAACGTCAGACGCGTCATTCTTTCAAAAACTAACGGAAAATCAACTTGAAATCAACAATATGAAAGCAAACCAATTTTCGATTTTCCGTTAGTTTTGAAAGAATGACGCGTCTGACGTTGGTTCAACGTTAATTCGATGAGCAAAACAATGCCAGATCAACGTTGTTTCGATGTCATGAGAGACGTCGTTTCCACGTTGATTCAATGTCAGTTTGCTGTATGAAATTTAGAAAGCTTTAAATTTAGTGAAAAGGAAAGAGAAAGATATTCCTAGCATGAATTAACATCTTTTGCGAGCATGTTTTAACACATTAATAACATTATTAGCACCTTGTTAGCATGAATTAGCATTTCGCTAGTATGAATTAACCGGTCTAATAACATTTAATAAGCATTTTAATAACATGTTTTTACACATTTTAACATGTTGCTAGCATGTTTTAACATTTTGTTAGCATGTTGCTAACGTGAATTAGTATGTTATTAGCATGATTAGCACTTTGAGGTTTTTTTTAAATGTAAAGTGCTTTTACAAATAAAATGTATTATTATTATTATTATGATTAGAATATTTTAGCATGAATTAACATGTTGACCAACGATAGTCATGTTATTAGCATGATTAGCACTTTGAGTTTTTTTTTAAATGTAAAGTGCTTTTACAAATAAAATTTATTATTATTTTTATTATTATGATTAGAATATTTTAGCATGAATTAACATGTTGTCCTACGATAGTCATTAAGCTTTGCAAGTGATCAACAACTTAAATACTACATTAAGTCTTTTTAAGTTTAAGTTTTCTTGGTTCTCCGTGAAGTTTGAGTCCTTTGAATATAAAGTGTTCTCACACACACACACACTCATAAACAGTGTTTGTGTCCGTGTAATGGAGGAATAATGTGTTCTTCTGTTGCTGTTGACGGTGAGGGACTATTTTTTGCAGCGGAAGGAACGTTTTTAGAGATTTTACTTCATGAAAGTTGCATAAATACATATTTTCGGCTTTAATATGTGAATTGTGTGGTAACCGTTTAATAACAGCACTAATGTACTCGAGGCTAGTGCTGTATCGGGAATAATACAGCGTACGTAAAATAAGCATAACCGAGTCACGCACCACTTTCCTTCGGGTCTCGGGACAGGAGCGCAGCTGGTTCTCCAGGGCGGATAACGACCTCAAGTCTTCGATGGGAAAGCGTCTTTGATTTAAACAGTCGGCGTCGGAGTTTTCCCGCACACCGTGTGGTTGCAGATCCTGAACCATCCTTATTAAGCTCATCTGCTGCCCGATAACAATCTCCTGTTTAGTGGTCAGGTCGTGAAGGAGCGCTGAAACATTAAACAGGAATCGTAAAGTTACATACGAGTGTGTGTTTATTAGAAATGATTTATAGGTGCACATCATCATTATTGTTTTGGTAATCTTGAAGCAGAATCAGTTCCTCTTGCAGCATCTCTTCTCTTCTTTGATGATGTGGGCGGGGCTATAACCTGTCACTCACATGACCTCTGCCAATAGTAAACCACAACCATCCAATCAATTCCTCACAGACACAATCAAGCTCCGCCCATGTGATCTCGTTACAGAAGCGTTTCACTCGATATACGACACAATAGAGAAAAGAGCAGTCATTAAAGTCCCCCTGTGGTGTAAATCCAGCGTTTAATGTTGTTTATGTGTGTGTGTGGTGTGTTTAATCCGCTTTAACACACACCATGTGTAAGTTGATAAGTGGACAGAATTGCTGAGTATTTCCTCCTTAAAAATAAAGACAGTCTCAAAAAATCGCCGGTGTTTCTGACGTCACAAACGACCTTGTAACCAATCAGGGGTGCGTTTCCCGAAAGCATCGTTAGCCAACTATGGTCGCAAGTTTGTCGCAATTTCCATTGAACTCTATTGGTAACGACGGAACTTGCGACCATAGTTGGCTAACGATGCTTTCGGGAAACGCACCCCTGATCAACGTGTGATCGACAACCAGTGGATCTCTGAGTGAGTGAGTGAGTGAGTGGAGACGGGGCTAATCTGCATATTCATAGAACTGCGCATACTAAATGAGGCAAGGGTGTCGAGTTACATTCAAGATATTTAAAGGCATGAAGAATTAAAAACGTTTAAATTAGGGCTGTCAGTTAAACGCGTTATTAACGGTGTTAACGCAAACCCATTTTAATCACGCGATTAACGATCTTTTTGGCCTAGCAAACTTTTTTTCACATGCTTTTGCAAATGGACGCGGCATGTGCGGCGCTGCGTTATGAAACCCATTCATTTCAATGGCGTGTGCCGCGCGATGATGTTTTGTCGCTTCGTCTACCAAAGCGCAAACGGATCTAGCTAGACAGAAGGCACGTCGCACACACTCGTTTGGGCTTGAGAGCCGGCTTTTCCATGTTGAAAAGAGCATTAAAATAATGGGACAAAAATAAATCAAAAGACATTTAGAATAGATAAAAATATGCGATTAATCGCGAGTTAACTGTGACATTAATGCGATT